TTGGCGGATTGAAAAAAAATCAATCTGCATCCGTTCGCCGGATTGACGGATGCAGATTGAGCTGATTAGCGGATTGGTGAATGGATGCGAATCAGTTTAACGGTTTAAACTTTTACAAAATTTGAACATAATATAACAACTTGTCAACATTTTTTTTTATAACAATCCAACTCAACATAACCAAAAGATTATCAAGTAAATTGTCAAACATCAATAATAAATACTTATATAAAAAAACCTTGCATTATTAAAACTATTTCATTACTTTTTTTTATTCAAAAACTATTTAATTTGATTTAAGAAAAAAACAAAACAAAATTAAGCTTATATTTTCCACACGAAAAAACCAAATATCAACACTTGCCATTTGATAAAAGGATTTTCAAATTGAAAACACAACAGAATATTTAAACTCTTTTTCAATTGAAAATACAAACATAATCTAAACAAATTGAAAACACAAAATTTTATCAGTTGCGGCCAAAGGAATATCAAATCTGCTACCTACTGCTAACATTAAATTGTGGCTTCATTTGGGAAGTAGACTAGCTTTTTGGTTTTTTAGTTATTTAGGCCGAGGCTAAAAGTTCGTTTAGATTAATTTTTTTAAAATTTTTTTGACTTTTTTGAAAGAAAAAATAAAATAATTATGATTTAAATATGACATTTTGTCTTATTAATTTTTTAACATATTTTATTCTTTTGTAACTAATTTAGCTAACATATCAAAAAGTCCGCCTTTCCAAACAAAGGATGAATCAATTTATCGTCACTTACAATTTTTTATTGATTTTGTATTCTTATTTATATCTATTTTTTTCGTGTTTTACACAATTTTTAACAAATGCATTTTCTATCAGTTTTTTCTTCTAAATTTTATTTTATTAATTTTGAATGGTCATCTAAATCATTAATGAAATAGTAATAAAATACACATAATTTCAAAAATATACATTTGGTGTCACTTTGATATCCAAAGTTGTAATTTTATAAATTTTCTATTGCTGTATTTTTATTCTCTACATTATATTGTTTATGGACAAAAGTTACATTATATTGTTTATGGACAAAAGTAACACAAAGTGACACAAACTCCTATTTTAAAAGTTGTTTATTAACTATAAGCATATTTTTCAATGATAATGATTCTCTTAAAAACTATCAATAAAAAATACAAAAGTCAAAGTATTTATAATCTTAATACACTCTCTACATATTCCTGTAAAGTCTTGATTTTAATATTTTTTAGTCAAGAAATAAAACCCATCAAATAAAATGATTAATTTCATTAAAAAAAAAAACACACAATAGATGATATTTAAATATATTATAATTGTATTATTATTTATATTTAAGTCCTTGATTTTGGATTTTTTTTTTAATATGACAATTAATTATTACTGCGCACTAGATGCGCTAATATAGTACAAATAAGAGGATCTTTTATCTTTATTTTAAAATTCATGAAATAATAATTACTGAAGCCTCATTTTCCACGCCCCCCTCGCCTATCATCTTTGATCTTTGATCATTTAGATTCAAGAGAATATGCCCCTTACGACCATCTCCTGTTTCATCGAATTTTGTATTAGATTTAAAATTTAATAAAAAAGTCACTTTTTACAGTTTTAATAATTTTATTAAATTGGTATCAAAACGAGAATTTACCAAACTTTTCATCAAAATAAAAACAAGAGGAAGATTTTACTAATTTACTGTGTGTAACCGTTAGGGAAACCAACCGGTCAACCAGACGGTTGACTAACCGGTTGACCGGTTCCCTTGAAAATAGATTGGTTCAAACAGGTTAAAAGGTTCAAAGAGATAAAAAAAATAAAAAATACACTAAACGGTCGACCCACCGGTCGACCTGCTTTGATGACAACCATTGAAGCAGTCTGTATCAAATTGAGAAAATGGTCCTTTTTTACTCAGATTTGATGAAAAATTTGGTGAACCGTTGGAGAGCATCTCCATATATATATATATATAAGGAAAAATTTTCGGCCTGTAATGCATATTGTAAATAATTTTATTTAAAATTATGTAAGTTTTCATAAGTATATATAAATAATCTTATAAAAATAAGTAAATTAAATAAAATTTGTATAATCATATAAATTTTTACGATTATTCATATAAATTTGTAATAATTTATATAATTTTGTGTAAGATTACATCGGTGTACATTTCGGTTCCCTACTCTTAAAAGTTTAAAGGCCTTACCCTTTTCTTTTTAGTTTTTCTTTTTATTTTTACACTAGAATGTTAATTAGTTTATTGTTAAATTATAATGCAGAAACTTACCTAAGTTCTCTCTCAAGATTAGTTAAATTTGAGTCTAAATGCCTTAGGACTTTCATGTGGAGCGAATGCATTTTAATTCTAAATTCTTCTATTCAAAATATTATAAATAATTTTGTTGTATCGTTGTAGTTTATTCATTATTTTTACATATAATATTTTCGATTATTAAGAATAAATGGAATTGTTTTGTTAGTACAAAATAAGTTAAATAATATTCTAAGACTACTAATCACGTCACTACCCTTTTATCCTTCTTTATCGAAATAAATAATATAATTATAGGGTGTAATTATATATCAAGTTGTGTTAATAATCGACTCTTATGGGTTTTGTTATTAAAAAGAAAGTAATTCGAAGATGTAAAAGCAAAGTGCTCAAATAATTTGTTGTTTTACTTTACTATTTTATATTAAACAATAATAATTTTTTTTTCTCTAAAATAATCACTTTACATTATTTTATGGAATAAATTACAAATACTGAATTTTTTTATTTAATAGAATTAATAAAAAAAATAAATTTTTTAATTATTCTCTTATATAATAATAAAATTACCTGAATTGTTAATTGAAATATATTTATGACATCATTAAAAATAATTAATTAATTTAATGATTTATTAATAAAATAAGTTATTTGTTATGTAATTAGAAACTTAAAGAGGCGAGATGTAATTTTTAGAATCATAGAGGGCAATATATATTTTAAGTAAATCTCAAGAGATGTATTATAATTTATTAATATGTTAATAGAGTGTTGCATCATTATGCTTTAAAAATAAGTCCTTCATCTGTTCAAGACACCACACAGGTAAGCCTATCGCCCCCCAAGAATTGTACTTTGTTGTTTAAGTTGCAAGCATGTATATACGTATTTACAAATATCTAAAAAATATTTATATCTAATACATATATGACTCTTAGTATCCGTATTTCATGAGTTGGTGTAACAAAAAATAAATATTTTTATCAAATTTAAATTTGATAAAATATTTGATAAATTATTAGAAATAGTCCTATACACGATTAGAAACTTAAAATATAAAATATAATTTCTAAAATCATGTAAGGCAATTGGCATCTTAAGAAATCTGAAGAGTTTGTATTTATTTTTATATTTTATTTTTTATAGAACCAAAAATCCTTCCCAAACTTAAAAAATAAAACATAAAAAAATCAATTTCTACTTAAAAAAATAAAAATAAAAATAAAAATTTGGGCCCCTCTCACATTTTCAACGAAGAGAAACCTTTTCAACCATGGAGGTTCTCCCTCCTGTCTTCTCTCCCTCTCTCTCTCTATATAGATATAGATAGATAGATACACACCTCGATACGTAAACATACATACATACACACCTCTTCAATCCCCCTTGCAAAAAGGTGAGAGATTCATTACATGATCTGCTTCTTCCATAATTTCTCTGAATAAACTCTTCTCTCTCACTGTTAATCTTGTGCAATTGTTATCTGAAAATTCCAAAATTGTGTTTTTTTGATTCAGCAATCTAGACTTGGGTTGCAAATGGCTGGTGAATCGAAGAAATGGGTATTGCTTGTTACGGCTCAGACCCCAACCAACATTGCTGTGATTAAGTACTGGGGTAAGAGAGACGAAAGCTTGATTTTACCCATTAATGATAGTATCAGTGTGACTCTCGATCCGGCACATCTCTGCACCACCACCACTGTCTCTGTTAGTCCTAGCTTTGATCAGGATCGCATGTGGCTTAATGGAAAGGTAATAAAAAACCTAACTATTTCTGGGTTTTTATGTTTCAGTGCTTTTTTAAATTTTTTTATATGTGATTCTGCTGTTATTTGGCTGTTTGGTTGCTGAGAAAACTGAGGAAATGAAGACAAATGGAAAGTCAATTTGTATCATTTGTATTGTGTTCTTGCCAATAAGAGGTAGTTGGGTTATTCGTGGTTGAGTGCAAGGATTCTTGTTGATTCTTGGATCTTAAACTGAGAGCTTAATAGCTTGTTGACTTTTTCAATTTCCTACATTTTTTCCTAATTTTATTTTTCTTGTTATTATTTGGATCTGTGATCCTTTCCAATCAATTTAGTTTCTGAGAACTGGGAAAAATAATAATAATAATAATAATAGAAGTGGAGTTAAGAATAGAAATATCTGAATTTTGGGTTTTATGTTGTTTGCATTTCCAAAAAAATAAAATAAAAAAATGAATAGCTAGACTGAGCTGAGTGCAATTTACTTCTCTAGACTTGGTTTTGATTCCTGGCACTTTTCTTTTTGTGTGTTTTGTGCTGGCTAGTGTAGGAGATTTCCCTTTCCGGTGGTAGATTTCAGAGGTGCTTGAAGGAAATCCGGGCCCGTGCTAGTGATGTTGAGGATGAGAAAAAGGGCATCAAAATCACTAAAAAAGACTGGGAGAACCTGCATTTGCATATTTCATCGTATAACAATTTCCCTACTGCTGCTGGTTTGGCTTCATCTGCTGCTGGTTTTGCATGCCTTGGTAAATGACCTTTCTCTATTTATGTTTGTCTATATTTATATTTTATACTCTCTACAGATTAAAAATTCATGTTATGAAAATGTATAAGAAAATTATCTCTAAAATCCCTAACAAGCAACTGTACCGTCATAGCTAATTTTAAGATATGAACACTTCAATCTGTTTTATTGATCTAATATAGTTATACTTATACTTCTTTTTCACTGGAATTCCGATTAAATGTTTCTTAAATATTCATGTATTATTTACAAAAAAAGAGTTTCGTCATTATGACACTTGGTAACCGAACTGGGGTTTTTTTGACGGGCTCTTGTATGTAACCGTTAGGTACGAAAATTGGAGGATGATGACAGAATGTGATATGGTAACCTTAGCTTTATAGAAAAAAAACTCTGCAGGGTTCAATAACATAATAAGAATTTCCTATAGAAAGGAGTAAAAATCAACTAGTGAATTCACCTCAAGGTTGTCGTTCTTTTAGTCTACAGTGTGGTCTAGTCCTGGTGACTGCTCCATATTTCTTTGTAGTGCTATGCTAACACTGATTATTTGGTAGGTGTTGTTGATATCAATACTCAAAATTGACAAGGAATAAACAAATTTTGAATGGGGAAAAAAATGCCACTTTGTTACTGTGCATTAGTTAATATGTTTCTTTGGATGATGCTCTTTGTTGATGTGCAAAATGTTCTATACTTTTTCCTTTTACACATAATAGAGTGTAGTTAAACTTATAATGCAGGCGATACACAAGTTGACCTTAATAACTATTCTTTTACTATTATTTGTTTATTTTTATAGGTGGATGTAACAATTATATGTTGAAATTATTTTTTTGCTGGCCCTACCATGGAAAACATTTTATTACTTGTTTACAAGGCAATTTAATGCTCAAAACTCGGCACCAATGAGAAATTTAAAAATTTTAACCTATTTTAGAGTTGACATAAGTTCGCTAGGCAACACAAATGCATTTTATGCTCTTTTGTTTATGGTTGAAATCACATATATCATCTGTGAACTTTCTTTTTATCTTTTTTAATGCCATCAGTTCAATCAGCTTTCACATGTATAACTTGCTTTATTTATAATTAAAGATGTATCAGATCCAAAACTGCTCCAAAAGGGTATTAATGATTCTTATGTTTATGCTTGCAGTTTTTTCCCTTGCAAAGTTAATGAATGTGAAAGAAGATCTTGGACAACTTTCTGCTATAGCGAGGTATTTATATTCTAGTTGATTTTGTTTAATAATTTTTTGTATTGTTTTTAAATTCCTGTGTTAATGGCTTGGTCTGCATGGTATGTCTTTATTTTTTTGATTTTTTCCCATGCATTCTGACTATACTGGTTGATGTGACTGGTGGTGTAAAGGGTTCTGTCAGTCTAGTTGCTTAATATCTTGCAGTTTATGTAAGGCCCCGGTGTCCCACATCGGGAATGGAGGGGGAGTTTCTGGGCTATAAAAGTAAAAACCTGGACCCTTATATAGCATCGAGGCCTTTTCCCAAGTGGTGAAATCCCTATTAGAACTCCCCGGTTAAACGTGCTTAGGCTGGAGTAGTTCTAGGATGGGTGACCCACTGGGAAGAACAAATCCGTGCGGGTGTGGCCCAAAGCGGACAATATCGATGACGTGTAAAGGGTCGGGGCGTTACAGTTTATTTTTGGGATTGTGATTTTCTTCTTCATTCAGTTGTGTAATGTTTTTCTTTAATTTGTATAATTTATTGATTCTTATATATCTGGGATACATGAATGCAAGTAAATAATGGAAGTGACATTTCATAATATTTGTTCATTTATATGCAGGCAAGGTTCAGGTAGTGCTTGTCGCAGTTTGTATGGTGGATTTGTCAAGTGGATCATGGGAAAAGTAAGTTTGATTTTTACGGTTTATTTATAGCATTCCTGTTATGATTTTGAATAGTTATTCTGATTCTTCTTTTCTTCAATTTATTAAGAATGACGATGGGAGCGACAGCATTGCTGTTCAACTTGCAGATGAGAAGCACTGGGATGAACTTGTTATTGTTATTGCTGTGGTATGTATCTTCTGTCATTTGGCATTCTTTGTTTGAAAAAAGCTATAGTTGGCTGCTTTTTGATTAGTGAAATCATATTCCCACAAGATAATAATAATAATAATAATAATAATAATAATAATAATAAGAAAAGAAAGAAAAGTAATAATATAATAATAATTGATAAGTAGTGTGTCTGCAAAACACCCTGAAACTCCCCACTTTGTGCTATGTGAGTAGCATTTGGCTCTAGCTTCCTATCTCTATATGCTTTCTTATTTGCATAATCTGCCTTTGTGTGGTGAGAACTACTGTTTACTCAGTTCCTAATAGGAAGGGTCTTTATTCGAAGACCCTTTATTTCATGGTTCTTACTACATTCCTTCTGTTTACTTGTTAGGCTTGGATTTCTTTCAGTACTTTTGATTGTTTTCTCCTTTTTTTTTTAATTTTTATTTTATTTTTGTAACCATTCTTTGATCATTTTGGAGCTATGCTGAAAAATATGAAAATCATTAGGTATTGGCACTCTATTGTAATCTTTTAGTTAAGTTTTCTACTCTTAACAATTTAACAGCTATTCCATGGTATGATCTTTGAGAAGAAAACAAGTCTGCTTTTTATTCCAACATTTTTTTGCCATTTTCTTGTCGTTTAGTTTGTCCTTTCTTCCAGTAATATAGGTTTTAGTCAGCTGGAATTGTTTATTTAAGATGCAAATGCTGTTTTTTGCAATTGTGACTGATGGAATTGGTTAATTAACTGACAGTTGGGTTTGACATGTAGAATGTTGCAATAATCTTTGAAATCATGTTGTTTGTGTTTTAAAAATTCTAGGTTGAAACAAATCATCTTCAGGGTAAATTTTGTTTATTTGGTTTGGGATGTGTTACAATATTTTGTATCATGCTTGCTAGCTTGAGACTGGTATACAAATTGTGTGTCATGCCATGTTTGATTACCAATTATTATTCAAAAATGTTATCATGCATTTAAAGAGGGCAGATTTATGACATTTATATTTGATCCCTTGAATGAGTTTACGCCGTATTATGGTTCCTTCTAAAACCTAATTGATTTTGTTACCAAATGGTGCTTCTGTTGATTCCAGGTAAGTTCACGGCAGAAGGAAACAAGTAGCACCTCAGGAATGCGTGAGACTGTTGAAACAAGTATGCTCATAGAGCATAGAGCAAAAGTATTTTTTCCTCTTCTGACCTCTCTAATTCACTTCAACAATTTCTTCTTATAAAAGAGACTATGTGTCCTTGTTAAAGTCTTCATAATAGCCTGAACTTGCTTCTAGAGTTGAGCTAGATTGTTCAACAAGCTAGTGCATTATAAATTTCATGACCTTTTCTCCTAGCAGATGGTTTTCATTAAATTATGGTAAATGAAGTTTTCATAGAATGTTTGTAGTTGAATTGATTTTTTTTCATTCTTGTTTTGGAACAGGAAGTAGTACCAAAACGCATTGTTGAAATGGAAGAAGCCATTAAAAATCGTGATTTTCCATCTTTTGCACATTTGGCTTGTGCTGACAGCAACCAGTTCCATGCAGTCTGCATGGATACATCTCCCCCTATATTCTACATGAATGACACATCCCATAGGCATGTCCTTTTCTCTTCATTTTTCTCATCCTGAACATGATAATCATATTTTTATGTTTCTTTTTTGGGTATTGTGATTCTAATTTTGACAAGGGTGTAATCTTTCAGGATAATTGGCTGTGTCGAGAAATGGAATCGCTCAGAAGAATCACCTCAGGTTTGTTCCCGCTATCTGAACGTTCATATTGATTTTTATTCCTCATTGCGTAATAACTGTGGTGAATTTTCTGAAGGATATACGATTTATATTCCACTCTTTTGCAAACAACAAATGTGTAAAAAGATGGTTTATGGGTAATCATATCTTCTATAATTTGCAAATTTGAGTATGAGAATAACTACATGGTGCATATCATGCCAAAATCTAGTTCTGTACCTAGTCTACCCTCCCAGCACTCTCTATTATCAGGGACCAATACTGGGAGGCCTTTACATAATCTGTAATTTAATGGAAGGTTTTTGAATTACAGTTAAGGGAAATGCTAGAGAGCTCTAAATCTAGAGCTCTAATTTGAGCTCTAGTGATGTGTCAAAGCAAAAAAAAAAAAAAAAAAAAAAAAAACATTTCCATTAGAGCTATTAGAGCTCTAAAACATTTTTGTTACAGTTAAAATGTAATTTATCAAAAAAAAAAAAAAAATTACAGTTAAAATGGAATTTGTAAAACTAATTGCAAAGAGGTGGGAACCACCCCTTTAAATGTGTATCAAATTGGCTCACTATATATCTTAATCATCTGTGTTCTCATGTCATCAGCATTTCAAACTATGGCCTTGTTTGGGAAGTTGGCTATTTTAGTTAGTTATTTGGCTTTTTGGCTATTTTATTCTAGCTAAAATAGTTGTGTTTGGGATTTATTATTATTATTATTATTTTTTTGTAGTTGATTTGATGATTGTGAGGAAAAAAAGAAGTGAAATGGTTATGAATTGGATGTGATATTTTATCTTATTGGCTATTTTAGCCTATTTTGTCTTTATTGGCTATTTTAGCCAAAAAAACTAAAAAAGTAACTTGCTGAATTTTTGTCAATTCCTATTAGCTTGTGATGTTAGTTAATGATTTTTTTTAAATAAATAATAATTTCAAAGAAATTCACTTAGATGGATCTCATTCTCTCTCCTAGGCTGGAGCCTTTTTCCCATTTGTGGGTTTTTGTTGCCATGCCATCGAAGTGTCTTGATAACATAACTAACAAATATAATGAGAGAAAAAAACTGAATTGTCAAGGTGTGTAGCATACGATGGAGTATTCAGGAAACATGACTAATATTGAGATTTTTGACAGGTTGCTTATACTTTTGATGCCGGGCCAAATGCAGTTATGATTGCACGTAATAGAAAGGTTGCTGCCCTTTTGCTTCAGAGGTTGCTTTTCCACTTCCCTCCTAATGCAGATACTGATTTAAACAGGTAATCCGTGTTGACAAGTTTAAAAATCAAATCAACCATCTAATTCTATTTCTTGTAATTGCTAAAAAAGTTGTATTTAAGGGGATCAAATGGGTTCTACCATCCCACAGCACTCTGTGGATAAGTTCTCTGATAATTTTTGTTTTATCCTCGTGTTTTTTTCCTCTTTGGTGGCACAGTTATGTTATTGGTGATAAGTCAATACTACAAGATGTTGGGGTTAAGGACATGAAAGATGTGGAAGCTTTGCCCCCACCTCCAGAAATTAAGGATAACATTCCGGCCCAGAAGTACAAGGGAGATGTCAGTTACTTCATCTGCACAAGACCCGGGAAAGGCCCTGTTGTACTATCTGATGAAAGCCAAGCTCTCCTCTGCCCCAAAACTGGGATGCCTAAGTAAGTCAAGAGGGAAATGCCATGTTTCGATGGACTCAATTTTCTTAGCCTGGAGAATTATTCTCTGCAATCTCTTTTACAACGTACCGAATGGCACTTTGTAGTGATTCTGAAACTTTTCGGGCCAAATTGTAGCTTGTGTTGTTTTCTTTTTCCCCTTTTGCATTTGTAATGTTAGATTTTCTTCTTTTATCCCAGTCAAGGTTTATGTACCATCTGCTTTGCCAAAATAATGAATAAATTTTTCCTCCTGGATCATTTTTTTCTCCCAAGCTGTTGAAATTGTTCAAGATGTTCTCTATGGAATTGTTATTATTATTTTGGAATAGTTCCATTGCCCACCTTGGTATAATAATTAACTATATATATATACCAGAAATGGTGAGAAAAAGAAATTCCTTAAAACTCATGTTTTGTTTCTTGTCAGAAATGGTGAGATTTGGTGAAAAATGAGAACTCGTTACAAAAATTTGTAATATAGGAATTACCCATCTAGAAAGCACTTGTATTCTTTTTCATGTATTGTTCAATCAAATGAGATGGTGAGAAATTATAATCATTTCTTTTATTTTCTCACTTGGATTTCTCTTCTTGCCTACTCTACCAAACGAACTGTAAGGTTACTTGTCCCCAAGAGTGTTTTGAAGATAGCCTCTCTGAATCCATCTGTGTAAGCAAACAAGTGCCCACCACCTTGAACCTCATGGTAGTGAATCCATGGAAGCCTTTGAACGATATACCGTTGCAGCGTGACAGGGACAAGGCCATCTTCATCACCCTGCCACAGGTGTACTGAACCTTCGTTGTCAGGGAAAGGGTTCTGAAGATCCACCGGTTCAAATTCCCAACTCCCAAATGTAACCATCATGTCCCTGTGGATGGACTCGAACTCTCCTTGTTGCATTATAACCTAGTTATTCATACAAACAAGTAACAAACTTTGAATTAATGGTAATCTGAAAGTGTTTCCAGAAAGTAACATTTTGCAAACAGTGCAATACTGCAAAACATCCATAATGGTCCTGTTTGGCGCAACTTTTAGAAAGCATAAACTGATAGCATCCTTCCCACACCTTTCTCTTAATCAGCTTTCTTAGCATATTTATGTTTCCAAGTTCCAAACAAAGGACAATAGGGATCTTGTATTTTCTGCATTGGAGGAATCCAAATGTTGAAGAAATATCATGTGAAATCGCGCACACATTCTTTAACAGCTTGCTTGGATGGAGTGATTTGAAGAGACGGAGAAAAAAAGGAAAGAAAGGGCAGTTTCTTATCCCGAATCATTATAAAGTTATCTTTTCTTTTCTATTCTTTTATCTTTCCAATCTTTCTCAAACAAGAGAAGGCAATAACTCAAGTTTTTCTCTTCTAAATTATCCAAAGGAGAGATACCACTGTGCTTTTCTTTCTTTTCTCTCTCCTACCTAATCTTTTCTTTTCTGTCCTAGTTTTCCGAAGAGACTATAACATTGGTGTCTCATTCCAAATAATAAAGCAAAAGAAAATTTTAGTACCTTGATCATCTGTGGCGTGGGCAGGTTAGAAGAAAGTTCGAAATCTTGGGGAGGAAATTTAGGGTTTCCGGCTATGATACTAAAGGGAGGAAACCATTTCTGAGTGTTCCACCAGTAGGTAAGCCAAGGGGTGTAATGAGCAACCCGAAGCGCCCATTGATCTTGAGGAAATTGTTGGTAGTAGGCTTCATTGGATAAATTTGCAGGAAAACTAGGCCACCAGAAGTTGACAGCAGGATTGATTAGCGTTGCCCCAGCTAGCCTGTCAAGCATTGCGAATAATCAAATCTGAGTCCTCAAGAAACGGAAAGAGAAACATTAGTAAAGCTATGTTTTCGTGTCAGACACTTGACACTCGGGTAAGGATATGAGATACGTATCCGATATGTCTAGTCGGAGATGCACCCAACAAGTATGTATGAGCAGTCAAGTTTACTATATAGCTATTTCTTAAACTTCCATTTTATACCCAAAAAAATGCTATATTTTAGTTTCAAAACATCATTTTATCCTTAAAAATACTGAGAAAGTAGTTAAAAATTTTGAAATGTAGTCGTGTCCAGGTGTCATTGACATGAAAATTAGATTGACCCGACAGCTAGACCCGTATTCGACACAATGCGAGTCCAAGTAACTTAGTAAATAATGCAGCAAAAAGAAGCCATTCTCATGACAAAGGATAGGGAACAATTAAGTTCACTATTGTCATTTTTTTTTCTTTTTCCATTTTGAAACTAGGAATTTATTAATGTACGCCGAGGAGTACGAGCAGTGGCACTCCATTAATTTGCGTTTTCCATTTATCTGATATTCTCCCATTGCTTTTCTCTCTCTTTTAAGTTTGTTGATATTTCGCATCTCATTCAAAGTATTCTCCTAATTTTCAATTCTACTTAGAAACGAACACAAATAACACAGATATTAAACTTGTTATCACAATCAAGCAGAGAATGAACTTGGCTAAAACTTACCGGTGTGGGATGTACTTGAGGCAGCCCCAAACCGCCTGTCCTCCCATGGAATACCCGACTACATAAAATTTTGATCCGAGCCCCAACTGATCAGCTAGCTCTTCTGCATCAAAAGCTATACTTTTCGCGGTTCTCTTTGGATCTGGATCACTTTCTCCATAACCTGGTCTATCAAATGACACAACGTGCACCCCTAGTTCTTCAGCCATTTCCTGAAAACAATCCACTATGAAATCACAAATTTCAAAATACTCATCAAACAACATTGAAAATTCATAAAAAAAAGTACCGGTTTTAAAATTGTTCCATCGAGCCTGCTGCAGGCAAATCCATGAAAGAAGATGATCTTATGTTTGGTCATATCTTTAGGGACACCGATCTTTTGATAGGCCAAATGTCTCCCATCTCTAAGCTTTATTCTAGTTGCGGTTATGGGAGGACCACCTGGGGAGCCACAGATTTTCGAAGGCAGAGGTCGGGTCATCTGATATGCCCACGCTACTAATCCAATCAACAGCACCACTATAATTTTCTTAAACATTGCTGAAAAAAAATATATTCGAATTCAAAGAAAATCTATTAGGAAGATCGACATAAAGTTTAGGGAAAAAATGCTTTTGGTATAATTTTATGGTTAACTCGAATTACTACTAGGCATGCTTACCAAATGAATGTCCAATTTCACATATACACTTACTCAAGTGTCGAGTATCTGCAAGAAGTACTTCATATATTTAGAATATTAGAAGAGTTCATGTAACATAGGTTTGTGGTATCAAAATCAAATTATAAACCTTTGGCACTAAACAAGTATTGGTATACATTAGTATTGATTTAACATTATGCAAAGCCTACATACTACAGAGAAACATTTTGTCAGGGACAAAAAATTCAAAACAGAGAAGCTTCAAAATCACTCCATTTGCAACAAACTTCAAAATCATTGCATTACAATGAAAAACTAAAGCTTTAAATAGATGGAAAAAACTGAAAACATAAATGAATAACAAAGCAATCCTTAATATATATATATATAGGAAATGAAATAGAGTGATAGTTAGGGCTGAATTACAAAGAAACATAAATGAAACAAAGCAGAGAGAGAGAGAGAGAGAGAGAGAGTGAACCTGAATCAAATTTGAGAGAAGACTGAGAATTTTCCTAGTGAAAAACAGAGCAATCCTTTGAATTCAAGTTTATACCTACAAAAGCTGCATATTATATTTATTTATTTAGATGCTTTTGGGATTCTTCTGATGATGAAGGACAAAGTTCAATTTCATTAGTTAGTGGAATCACCATGTGAAGTGATTTGTTGGTGTTTTGCCTCCTTGTTTGTTTGTCTTTTGTTTTTTCCCCTATTTTTTCTATTATATATAAAATAAATAAAATAAAAACTTCTTCACATCTGAGAATCCCAAAATGCATTTGAGATTTTTCATAGTATTTATTTATTTTATTTTTTTTCTCTAAGGATAAGTGATTCTTGAAAGCACTCTAAATTTTTCCAACTACCACCATTAGTGGAAACACATGCAAAAATCATTTTTATATTTAAGGTTGGTTTGACAAGTCTTGAAAAAGTTAAAAAATTAAAAAGTTATCAAAACAGTCAAAATTTTTTCATTATTCATCAAAATATAAAATAAAAAAATAATATATAAATATTAATTTAAATGGTAAATTAATAAAAAAGTTCAATCTGACCAACCCATCAACATACGGACACGTGAGCCACCTGCAATGAAAGGAAAAACAAAAAATAATAACATGGGTACATTCACTTATTTGCATGATAAAGTTAGGCCTGTGGGGCCATCATGGCCCCGTTTATTTTCAGAGATAGAATGGAGGGGATTAATAGTGAGGGAATTGTTAGTGAGGGTCGTTTGTTTTCAGAGATAAAATGGAGGGGATTGATAGTGAGGGGATTAATAGTGAGAGGATTGTTAGTGAGGGGATTAATAGTGAGAAATTGTTAAATTATTTTTATATGAAATAATAAAACAAATAAAAAAATAAAAAAATTAAACATTAATATTTTAAAAAAAATTCCCAATCTATAAAAAGTAAAATAAATAAAAAAATTTCTAATCCCCTCACTATTTTTCTAATACTATCTCTACCTCCTCACTGTGAATCCCCTCCCCAAGGGTATTAGTAATACCAAGGTATTAGTAGTACCCTCCCCATCTCTCAAAACAAACAAGGTATTAGTAATACCAAGGTATTAGTTAGTCCCAAGATATTAGTAGTCCCAAGGCTATCTCTCAAAACAAACACCCCATATATTAGTCCCTAGGTATTAATAATCCTAATCCTCTTGCTATAACCTCAAACAAACGGGACCCATGGGTCTTGTTTTGATAATCCGAACCGTTTAATATGTAGAACTCATTTAGTACTATATACTTATAAAAAATCACGTCTATCGGATATCACTAACTATATGATCAAATCAGTTTTATATAAAAATTAGATGGTATTATAGTTAACAGTTGACAAAGAAAACTAACACGATCAGATAGTTATCGATATCCAATCAACGTGATTTTTTGAAAGCATGTAGTACTCGATGAGTTCTACACATTGAACTGTTCCGATTAGAAAAAAGGGACCCGTGGTGGGCCCTCACGGGCCAAACAATACCATCCAATCAAAGCCCGAGAAGTAGACAATATTTTTTCATCTACTCACCCAGCCAGCCACCACTGCCATTCCATACGGCTCCCACCCTATCTTCTCCTACACCCTTATTTATACAAGTTTTTAATATACATTTTTTCATAAAAAGTAAAAAAGTTAACCCAAACATTCATATTTTTTTGCTCAACTTTTTAATCCAAAAAAACAAAAAGTGTACTTATTTATGACACCCCAAATAACCCATTATTAACGTGTTTGTTTTGGTTTTAGTAGAAGTAACATGCAAAAATCATTTATATATATATTAGCGATTCAGATAAGTAATGTGTGTAATTTTAAAAAATAATATTATAAGAATAATGATAAAAAAAATATGTTCATTTCAAGTGACAATTTATTGTTGTGAGTTAATTTTTACAAAAACTCCAAATATAAGGATATTTTGAAAAAATTCAAAATATGTGACACAAATATCAACACCTTTATATAATATAATAGATTTGTCTTGTTACAAAGTTTCAAATTATTTTTTAAAAGGAAAAGGAAAATAGTTGAGACCCCTACCATTTTTGACTCCTACAACCTTTAATTGATTTGGGACCACACATTATATATATATATATATATTTTCTCCACTCTCTCTCCTTCTCTTCTCTCACAAATGTGTGGGGGTGTGGGGTCCACTCCACTCTCTCTCCTTCCCTTCTCTCACAAATGTGTGGGGGTGTGGGTCTAGATCATTTCCAAAAAGAAAATTAGTGGGGCCTTTATATATTAAAAAAATGGTATAATAAATATTACCACTTAAATAAAAAAATAAAAAAAATTGAAAAGAAAGAAGAGAAAAAGGTACCTTAATAATAATAAAAATAATATATAGTGTGAGGTCTTTTCAAGAATGGCCACTTTTTTGACTTAAAAGAAAAGATGGTATAAAAATGACAAATTTGACAAAACATAAAAAATAATAGGATTAATTATACTTTTTACTTTATATTTTAATTTAAATTTTACTTTAATCCTCATAATTTAAATTTAAATAATTTGATTCCTATACTTTAAGACTAATTTTAATTTGATTATTCTATCTAAATTTTTATTAATTTTGTCTATGTATACATTTTAAAAAATTTAAAAATGTCAAAAAATTATTAATATTAACCTTCAATTTAGACGGAACAATCAAATTGAACCTCAGTAAATTCACAAGTGTCTCAAAATTGTTAATTTTAACTTTCAATTTAGATAAAATGATCAAAATAAAACTAGATTTAGGGACTAAATTGTTCAAATTAAAATTATAATAACTAAAGTAAAATGTAGGTCAAACTGTAAGGGTGAAAAGGATAATGTCCCCAGAGTTTCTCCATAGTCAACAAATTGACATGAAATAATTGAGACATTGCTTCAAAAGCATTGAATATAAAAGAAAAATTCTATATGTATAGAATTCAATTATATAATCAGATATAACTTTCTGACATGAGATAAGTTCTAGTAAACGTGTAGATCCCATCTCATGTGAAAGAGTTGTATTAGATACTGTATGTGAAAGAACTGTATAAAAACAAACAAAATCATAACTATGATATGGCAACTTATAATTCACTTCACAAGGACTTGCAAAATCAGTAATTCCTAAAAAATAATGTCTAATTATCACATCCTTAAATCAACATGCATGTCAACAATGTCTTGCTACAACTTTCCTGCTCATATGGATTCTGCAAACTTTTACCTCCAGCACAAAGAAAATATACAAAATGAGAGAGAATGAAAAAGAGAGTGAGAGTGAGAGTGTTTGGGAAATTGTCTGCACTAAGGGCTCTACTTCTCCCCAAGTAAGAGTGTTTTGAAGATGGCCTCTCTGACTCCATCTGCATAAAGAAACAAGTGCCCACCTCCCGGAACCTCATGGTATTGAATCCATGAAAGCCTTCCGGCAATGTAACGTTGAAGGGTAACAGGTACAAGCCCGTCATCATCGCCTTGCCATAAATGTACAGAACCTTCGTTGTCAAGGAATGGTTTCTGGAGATCCATAGGATCAAATTCCCAGCTCCCAAATCCAACCATCATGTCCCGGTGGATGGACTCAAATTCTCCTTGTTGCTTTACATTTGTCTGCCCATCCAAATAAATAACAAATTCCAAGTCAATTATAATCTCAAAATCTTGGCACTCTAAATAACAAACATTTCACTAATGCACAAAGAGAAAATCCCCTTAACCATGACATTTCCAAAGTCGAAAAAAAGGGCACTCAATACGTTGATTTAGAGGCAAGGGGCAGAACCAGGATTTTCATCCAGTGAAGGCAAAACCTTATCTAGAAAGGTGCAAGATTTTTTTCCCCCCTTATTTGACATGAAACAAATTTCCCGATGAGGCCAAAAAAATATCTTATGGGAGACAAAAGAAAAAATAAAACTATTGGTAAGAATAATACTTAATCAAATTTTTAGGGGGACAGATTGAACAATTTATTAAAATTTTAGTGGCAATTTTATGAAAATGTTTTCGAACCATATATAAAATTACAAGATTTTAGTATCTCGTGTCTGTGTCCCTGTTTGTTTTCTTATGCACGTGTTTGTAAATCATTTCCTTGGACACACATAAATATACACTAGCACACAAGGTCCGTTGGTACCTCATTAGAGCATCTCCAATGCACTAGGCATATAATACTTGTTAGTTAAATTGCCTAGTGTGATTCACTTTTTTCAATTCCAACGCACTAGGCATATGATTAGGCATTTTGCCTCAACTCATATTCACTAGCTACATGTAGCTAGCCTTCAACGCTAGGCAAAATGTATTCAATCATTAGGATCATTTCCCTCCATCTTTGTTGTTGACGTGGCATTCTATAAAATTAATAGTATTTAGATAAATAGCTAAAATAAAGAGCATGGTTGGAGTAAAAACATAAAACAGTTGATAGGCAAAATAAAATATATACTTTATAGTAATATTCAGATAGGTAAAATGCCTACTACCGTTGGAGATGCTCTTAGTGACCAACCATAAAGACTGGAGGCTTCTCCTCTCTCCCCTATACATGTATAAATTGAGACTCTCCTGTCAAGTCTCAAACACAGAAATTGTTTCTTTCATTCTTTAGTCAGTTTGCTAGAAATTTCTTACTGTGAGAGAATCCTGCCATTGTCGGTTTGCCAAAGCTAACAGAAGGTGCTTCTGAGTTAGCCGGTTTAAACCATCTTATCCTGGGAGACAGAAGTCGACGTTCCTTTAACACTCACGGTGAGGCGGCTAATCTGTTTTAAGGACACTGTGGTATCACAAAGAATTTGGTTTGCTCCCTTGTTTTCAATATTTCAATTCCATTTGTATTTCGGTTAATCATGGTTCATGTTATAAAAGTTAACTGATTAATTTTTAATCTATTTGTTTCGTCTAATTAGCCTATATGACCAACAAACTTAAAACATCTTCGTTTGGGAAGCCATTAACATTAGTTTTGTTACTGCTAGTACTTAGGGAAAAAAGGCAATAAAGTCGGAACAATATATATTTGCATGCTTCTCTTTATTATTTTCAAGATTTGTGCATTCCCTATGAGTAGGTGTTCCATTGACTAAAATTGGTGTACCTGAACACACTGTTTCTTATATGGAATGTGCTGTTCTATTTTTTTTAGTTTAATTGGAATGACTTTTATTTATAGATATCTAGGACTATATATGCATGCTATTGTTTTATGTGTTTTAGATTTCCTGTAGCATATAATAGTCCACTGTTATTCATGAGGAAAATAATGAAAAAATAGCCTACTGATTTTTCCATGTTGATTGCTACCTGGTTTTCAATTTTAAATTGGTTTGATATGCCACTGATTACATATATAAATTTATGATTATAAATTCCATGTTTAGATTAGTAAATTCATATATGTAATGGTATGTGTGAATTTTATGATCAATTTAATAGAAATGCTACTATGTTATTTTCTATGTGGGTCTATCATACATTGTATAAAATTTGTTTATGAAATTAAAATAAAATAAATTTGTTTATATATGCTTAAGCCCACTGTTTAGTAATTATATTCAATAGTTGTTCAGTTTAACAAATGTGCATGATTTGCTTATAGTTTTTTAGAATTTTTACATGTCACTTGCTTCCTAAATAAAATTAAATAAACACAGAAATATATATTTCTTTAAATATTATTTATTTTCTAGATTTAATTTGTTCATGCTTATTATTTTCTAGGATATTTGCATAATTGTAATTGTTAGACTTATTTGCGTGTTTATTGTGAATTAAACTCATATGTAACTCTTTCCTAGTATTTAATTCAATTAGTTAGGAGTTATAAGCTTTGTTAATATATAACTCATGACAACAAAGTTTAATTTGATTATTTGAATTAAAAGGTTTTGTAACTTGTCTATGTATGTACCCGTTTATTGTATCAATTACATTGTCAATTTAATTATGGAGTTTTATTTAATTGGTGTAACTTATATAGCATTTTAATGTTTACTTAATGTTGTTATTCATTATATAGTGTTTGAATAGTTAAGTACAAGGTTTTTCCAATTCGCTGCTTTGTATTTCTACTAACTTTCTTTGTAGAAATACTTAAGCATCGAAACAAATTTTGGAATGGACTATTTATAATTCTCAATTGGATTGATTTACTTGTGTTTAGATTTGTAGCAATGTTTTATATTGCTTGTAATTTGGTTAG